TTTTCGGCAACTTCGATGTAAATTATTCGGATAACAGGAGAATAATTTGCATGCTACCATGCGTCGCCTATAGTCACTTTTAGTCAGGTTAGCCTGACTTGAAAATCTGTTCATCACACAAATAATCGCGAGCAGCATCAGGTTAATGAATATTTTTTCTCGATGCAAATCGCTGGATGACTCATACTTTACAATATTTTTGAAAGGTATAAGTCATCCAGCCCGGAAAATATGCTTATCACACAAAAAAATCTCGAGCATTAGGTTTAATAAACATTTTTTCTTGATGAAAATTGCTGGATGACATATACTTGTAGATATTTTCGCGCTAATTCCTTTTATGCTAAATTGCATACTTCTCTTTTATCATTAAGAAAACAATTTCAGTTTACTCGTTTTCGAAAACAATCAGATTACCACGGCGTTGCTCGTAAGTGTACTTAACGCTGACCAGTGAACAAGTAAACATGATTATGATGGTATTAAATAGGGTGCTGAACGTAATACGCACTGGCTGATGAGCAGATAAGGCATTATGATTTACATTTTACATGATACCAAGCAAATCGAATAAAAAAGAAAATTAAAAACTCTAGAAAAACACAGTATCTGGCCTGCTGGCTTAGTCCTGCCAACGTTCAAACATATAGCAAAGATTATTATTACTATAGAAATGCGTAAAACATGAAGATTAATAGTCCTATGATTAATTCTAACCTATCATCCGTTCGTGTCCGATCATCGCATCCTCAATGGAAAGTTGTCATTTGTTTATGTAAAAGTTGACCCGCTTTTAAATGGTTCCGCTCACGCACTAACTCACAATTCCTACATACAATGTAAGTTCTGCTTGAGTTATGTTCCAACTTTCGTTAAAAACTGGAAAGACAATCTACAGATTTTGCATTTCAATCATTTAAATTATATAATTCAAATTTTCCCATCGCAGCTATAAACAATTACAATTCGAAGAATTACAATGACCTAGTGATTTTTTTTAAATCACTATATTTACTGACATTTTCAATTATCTGTCACACTTAGATTTGCCCCTAATTAAGTTCTTGTACAAATTTACGAAAGAAACCCTTCCTGCTAGTCATATTCACAGTTTTTAAAACTAGTTTTTGAATAATTTACCAGTAACATGTACATGTACTCGCATTTTTATTAGTGTAAGAAAATTTTTAAGCACTATTTTCGGGAAAAATTGTGCAACATTGAAGTATTTACTGAGGTTTTCTGCGTAAATCTTTATGTGATTCATTTCGGAATGTAGCTGCTCGATTCTTTAGCTAAGCCCAAGCCACTTTGGTGTGTAGCCAGGTTTTAGAAGGAAAATATTAATTAATTTCGTATATTCATCTCATCGTCCATCGAAGTCATGCTTGATGGAAAAAAATGAAATTCATACGCAAACTGAAATAAAAATAAAAACAAAGTGTTTGCACTTAATACTCTGAGCATTCATCACTACAATGGAAATCTTTACTCACACATTTCTAATTAAAGGTACTTGCAGGGGAAATCTATAGAGAATCATTTCATGTTCGTGCATAACAAGTAAGGGTGTGGTCAGCGCGTATAGCGTCTCATTTTCTAAAGAAAAAGGCCCAAGGGGAAATGATTTTAATGAAAAAGCGACTTGCTGAAACATGCTGGGCTTACAGGTCAATGTCACGATCACGAGTGGGCCCTACGCTTTTGCCGACGCATTCTCGACCGCTTCCTATCCTACCAGCGTTTAATGTGGCTTCGCGAATTATATTCATTGCAGAAACTTTGATCTGAAATGAGATTAAGTGATAACGGTAAATGATACGGATATGAAAAGTTCAACAATTATTTGAGAGTCGAAGACAAACTGACTACGTCAACCCGTTTGATTGAGACCTCTTCGGTGAATTGTTTTATAGTTTGTATGCTATATTGATATACGTTACATAGTAAACTCATTAAGAGTTTTATTTTCATGCAAGAATAGCCACGCAGTTTACTGATCATTGAACGTCCGTCCACTCACCAAAAGTGCCATGCAAATCACATTTAATTTTGAGGCAATTTAATTCAGTTTCATAAAGCCGCCTCTTGGCCCATGTCGTTCATTCACATACAACGGTTTTGTTGTAATATTTCTGTATTGCATTTGTTCATACGTTGAATATTAGTTGAGTGAGCGAGTGACTCATTCAACGCAACTCAATACGCACAGTTTATTACACGTGGCTGCTTTTATTTTTATGCACACCGTTCAACTTTTTCATAATTTCTTCAGTATGTTAAGTACCATCTAAGTTTTGTACCAGACGTCACAATAATATTTCCGTAAAACAATAATAGTAGTAACGATTGGTGAGATTTGATCTAATAGATGATAGGTTATAAAGATATTCAAAACTGTAAATTACATGCTCGTGATGCATGAGGGTATAATTGTTTTAATAAAAAAAATGTTCTTAGAATAGAGATATTTTTGTCATCATGCAATGCCCCTGGGCCCTGGACAAGGCATAAGATACCGGGTAGACTCCTGCCTCTCCGAATAATTTTCTCGAAATGGATCGGGACAATGGGACCAGACGAGAAATTTCCCGAGAAAAGGTAACGAGAAAAAGTTGAGGAAATTGTCCCGAAATAAAGTATGAAACGGGACAATGCCTGTGTAATTTGAAACTTGTATCCCGAATATTATGAAAAAATACAAGAAACACATATCTATAAAGAGACAACGTAAAGATACGAGACATGTCTTATACATTCGAGACAAAAAAAGATAGTACACTTCGACAGTAGTTTAGTGAAGAAAACGAAATGACATTTACTGCACCATTGCATTGTAAAAATCCTGAGACCTACCTACCTGCCTGGTATGTGCTTCTTTGATGCCATAGCAAGTCACAAAACCAATGAAAAAACTAATATACATCAGGAATTCAACAGAAAAGAAGTTTAATTTAAATTTATTCTGCATTTTTTATTATCGTTGATTTGGTTCCTGACTTATTGCTAACGCCTTGAGTACCTTCAAAGTTCGAGTTCTGCACTACTGCGCATTCCTTCTGAGTTGCGGTTGCCTCTGACATCACCTCCCGCTGAGGGATTGGCAGACTCGACTTCGTCGTTTGTCTCGAGCCAATAACTCATGACAAATCTGGACTGCCGTGCAGCGTTTCTTGTATGGTCAGTCACGATGCGTGACACCGCAAATCAATTCAAGCAAAGGTTGAAGTGCGTTCATAACTTAACAGGATCTCAGTTGCAAACCTACACGTGGCATCACTTGGATTTATAGCTTTCTGTAACCTACCTCGCCAAACATACTACTAATCCTACTGATGTTGATAACTTTCATTATGTAACTCAACATGGGGAACGCGACCTTATCATAAGAAGATCTGGTTTAGCGAACACAACAATTTCTACCTCTGAGTTGCAAGATGTTGTTCCGAAAATGAACAACTAGTATCCTGGACCGTGGTCGCCTTCATCCTCCAGTCAGACGCCGTTACCGGAACAAGTAGCAGCTCATTCAAGTTCAAGTAGCAGCTCATCCTTATCACTTGCTCTCGTCAGGCCAGTGCCTGTTGAGCTATTCTTCCAGAGATGACCGAGATCACTTTCATAGTTTTTTAGTCAATATATAAGATCAAGATGAATCATCCATATATTTTCGTATTCAATTTAGACACCGGACCTCTGGCACGATACGCTACGTTATAGATCAATTCAGGACAGATTTGTACCAACGCCTTCGCATCTCGCTCAAGTGGAGGGCAGAGACAGAATGATTGTACGTCATTAGCACAGCATTTATGGATTTTCTCGGGATTTGAATCATTCATTTGATTGAATCTTATTGCCAATTATTCATTTGCTCGTCGGAAATAGATGTGCGCTTGTGGAAGCAGGCTTTTCAGAATGGTAGATAAATATTTATTTACAGTTCAAAAATTAATAAAAAATTAATCACTTTAAATTATGCTTTGGCTCTGATTAAAGGCAACCTTCTGGCGACGCTCTATTTAGGCCGACAATCCTCGGCCACAGCACCGGTGGTCAGGCCGTTTACGGTGTCGGCGACGGAGAATAAGTGACAAGCTGTTAATTCCCTTCAGTTGTGTCTTGACCGTTGGACATGATTGGTGCATCACGTCTGAATGTTTCATAAATTAAATTCACTATCCTTTTTTCATTCAGCGCTTTGCTTCGGCATAGCATCAAATTTGTATTTAAACTCTGGTAGCGATTTCATGTAAGATTCCATAAAACATTGTCATTTAAATTATTCATTCAAAATTACTGAAACGCTTTAAACTTCAAGTTGATTCAGGTTCATTATTGTTGTCGTTTAATCGTTCGAATATTTCACGGTGGATGGCCACTTGGAATGGTCTTAACAGTGACAACACTGGAAGCAGATGTTGGGCTTGCTATGATCAGCACCCAAGAACTGGCATAAATAACGCAGTTAGTTGAGAACGAGACTAAAAAAGATGGGCGAACGGCTGCATGAACGATTCAACTGATCGACGATTCTTCTATCAATATATATATTAATCAATATCTTTTTCAAAGCTGAATACACGTCCACAAAAGAATTTGCAAGTATAAATCAGAGGCAAGATTTTAACAAAAATGGTGATTTCAATTTACGCAGGTAGTAGCATTTACGCCAAGGTAATCAGAACCCGAACAGAGTGTCTTCAGAACAACAACGGTAAATAAGGGTTGGTACCTGGAACATGTCTTTCAATTCCCAATTCATGCGCGAGTCGAATTGTTACAACTACGGCAAGCTTACTTAAGCCATAAAACATCATGGGCAATAAAACTTTAGACATCAAGCAATTAGACACCGCTCATCGCGTGACCCCTCGTCACCTCCCAGTCTATGAGCACAAGAACCGTCAGGTGAGCTATCTTCCTGGAGTCTCGACTTCCTTCTCGAATTTTTATCAACAGAAGTACTTAATAAACAAGGAGAAAATTAATAAATAAAATTGGATGTCCTCAATATATTGATTAAAAGTACTTAAAATTTAATAGTAAGTTAATCCGTAGCCCAAATCATAGTAATGAAATACAAGGGTTGATTTATCCATGAGAACAAAATTACAAATCCTCGTAGATACTTTCATGGAGAAGAATTCCACAAATCTGTATTGGCTAAAATACTAATAAACACTTGTCAGTCGGTCAATGAAACCTGCATTAGCTAGTTAAGAGAAGTAAGATTCGTGAGAAAACGGTCAGTCCGACTAGAAGAATCAACGAACTGATCCTTTCAGGTCAACAGAACCAGCATAAATACTATTCTTATACCAACAGGGTTCCAATCACCAACACTTTTCCCTACAGTGAATTTGACGTTACAAGAGGGGTGCAAACATAGGAAGTAAGTCAAGCAAGAACTTCCAGGACTTGACCCACCGAAATAACATGTAGAGCATCGAGATATTAGAAGTGACTTATATTACATAGAGGGAACTATCGCAATTTGAAGCGAAGAAAAAAAACGGAAATATCAACTGCAACGCATTGACAGCGGTGCAGAGGAGGTGAAGAGCTGAGGTGCGAGTAGACAGAGAACTCAGGCTCCTAGGATCTGAAAAATAAAAAGAACATTAGTGCCATGTCAGTATTTAATGCTTCTCTGTAACCGTGCAAATGTGAATCCTATTTCATAATTGATTTAACCACGTATAATCTAGGCAATGTCATCATATAAAGGCATGAGCAGCTCACTTCTTCGATCTTAGAGATGTGCAAGGACTATTATAAAACCTACATTACGTTCTAAATAATCAATTAACATCTGAAATAATGGTGCATGTACAATGACGAGCATCACAATTTGAAGAACTCAAGTTTTAGCAATGTTATTTACCCAACCAAGAAAGAATAATATTCCATGTATTGTAGTAAACAAACTATGCTCATCATAACAACTCGTAGAGTTTTTAACATTGGTGAGGGTGTCATTTTTATACTTTAAAAGAAATGCACTTTTTTCGCAAGATTTCAGATTATGTGCCGCCGAAATTTGTAGTAGATAATTTTCTAAAACAGCCAATGAGCGACATTCAGACGTGATATATCTGTTACATGCATCGCAAATGGCAAGGTAAGTGATGAACAAAACTGACTGTAATCCAGCCTGAGGAACTAGGCTTGCGTTCATTATACCTGCCAAGGATATGGGTTACCTACTGAAAGAAACTGTATCTAGAATTATGCCGAACAAAGCACATTTGCCTCGAATTTACAAAAACAAGATAAAGTCAATAGTTTTAACGGCAAAACATATTTGGAACATTTCGTTATATTGCACAAGCTTGGCGTTGAAATTGTGCAGCCATTTTTTCAGACAGCACAATCCATTTTTTAGAGAGTCAAAGGAAACGGAGAAAAAACTTGAATCTTATTATTTAGTATACTTTTAAATTTATAAATCCTAATTTATGCTACTTCCTTCTACCCAAAGCAAATGGTAACTGTAATGATAAAGTTTAAAATATAGGTTATTTCAAAGCATCTGCGCCGATTAGAGTAACTCACGAGTGTCATGTTAAACTTGCATAGATAACGAGCTGTAATGCTCATACAAATTGCATAACAATTCATCAATATCTCTTTCCTTTTTAATGGAAAATGAGAAGTCATGGCCATACAGGATACCTACCAAGTCATCAATATCCTCTTCCTTGTCATCTTCATCCGAGTAATAATCGAAAGCAATTTCGCCATCCATGCCATCCTCGACGAAGGTCGACATCTCGTTCACCTTGACTGTAAGGGAGTAAATATCACGAGTTTCAGTTTCAACTCTTTAAAAAATCGTCGGAGTGACGTCAATAAGAAACGTGGATGTAATACAGAACATTTTCAATTCCTCCAGCCAATAACACAGCCTATATACACATCCACCTTCAAAGTTCATCTCGAGGACAGAGAGATAAGCTAAGCCATGGGGAAGAAAATGCACTTAAAAACTCACCGGATTGAGGAATTTCGCCGTATGACTTGAGATTTCTGGCCTCTTCTGCGTTGTACTTGAGGATGACATCCGCTTTCTTGTCTTGATAATCTCGCAGACCGAGCAGGATAACATCACCTTGATTAATCCACACCTGTGCAATAGGTAAACGGTAAATAATCAACGTGTTAAAAAATTTACGTCATCTATTATGCTTTCCCTTGATAACTATATTTGAAGATTGAGTATTTTAGTGTAATTACATTAACACGTTGACTACGTATTGGTACATATGCGTACCACAAAATGTATTTCTCCAGGAGGTAGTGGTACATAATTCAGGTTGCCTAAAATCGGCCAAATCCGAGAACAAAAAAGGCCAAAAAAGGCTGATAATTCAATGGATAATATAGTTTATTTGTAGGTTCCGCTATAAAACTTACATTTATTTTCTTTTTGCAGTATTTAAAATTTAATTAGGAAGTACCCCTATCATAAATTTTAGCCGGCCAACGCAATTGAAAAAAACTAAATCACAGAATTTGTCCGGAAAAAACGACCGTCTGGCAACCCTGCTCAAAAAAAGTACAAAAAATGAAATAATAATACTAGATGAAGCAATCGTAGTCAACGTGTTAACTTTTGAAAGTGCAATACCATTTCAAATCAAATACCTTCTTTCGAAGCTTTCCTCGGATGTGACACAACCTTTTCATGCCGTCAGTAAAGCATAAAGCCTCAAGTCGACCATTGCCAAGCATCTTGGTCACCTGAAAACAAACATTGAAAATTTATAAAATTAAACTTTTGCGAACTATATACTAGGTATACATCTTACCAATATTAATTGTAATGAGAAAATATATGTTTAAAAGACAGTAAATTTTGTTGACTTTTCTTAGAAGATCTTATTATCTAGGAGGCATTATATGAAGATAGGACTTGAAGTTTAGATGTCATAATTCAATATTCAATGGCAGCAAATTATGTTCAGATGAATATGGAATAAAGATCAATCTAGTACTGCCTGCCGCATCTGCCAAGGAGATATAAATTTTTATGGCCATATGTACAGTATTATAATTACAATTTGTGAATAAGACAAGAGACTGATCAACAACAATCCATACATTAACCGCAGATCAATTGCTATTCATAGTAACAATATGTCCTGGTGGTTTCCTCTGTCTGGGGCTATATCGTCATGCCACTAACAGGCTGCCAATCATATCATACCTAACATCACCACCAATCCGACCAGAGACCTTGATGCTAATTTAAGAATTTGAGAAAAAAGAAGTGGCCTTGACATCAAATTACATCTATTTCTTATTTTCTTAAACCACAGAAGCACAATATTTCTTCAAGTGATAAATAAATCAAATGCAAATTAAGACTGCTCAGAAATCAGCTGTTTGTAACTTCTTATTCACTGTCTGCACTACTGATAAGCAATACTGTAAAATGGGGTAACTTAGACCACTTTTTTTTTTTTTAACAAAAACCCCCACAACTCAAGAACTATTTGACATAGAAAAATTTTGTCAATGGGCATTAAAGGCCTAATACTGAGGCTACATAACACAATAGAAAGATTTAAAAAGTTTGCATATCAAATAGGTTAAAAAATTAAAAATGTGACCCACGAAAAAAAGCTATTATTTAAAGCCTGTCAGAGTACCCCCTCCAATTTTTTTATTTTTTAGTTAAAAAACTCCAGGTTTTGATGCATAGTAGTAGAACTCTTCTAGTTACATATGCAAATGACAAATTTTAGGAAAGTGTCATAGTTTGTGAATGGGGGGTGCCGCCCCCAAATGGGGGAACTTAGACCACCTAATGTCAGCCCTGACGGGGTAACATAGACCGGCTTGGAAGTTAATATAAAATTACCACATATAACATATTTTATGTTTGACAGCCTATTTATGTTTTTTCTTTATGTTTCAGACTCTACAGTCTTACAGTATATATGGTAATTTTAACTTAATTTCCGAGCCAGTCAATATTTACCCTGTCAGGGCTGCCATTAGGGCAGGGTTGGCGATTTTTTTGATTTTTTCAAAAAAATCAAAAAAATAAAAAATCAATGATTTTTTTGATTTTTTCATGATTTTTTTGATTTATTTGATTTTTTTGATTTTTTCAACTTTTTGTCTTTTTGAATCAATATACAGGGTGGGGGAGAACTGATTGAGCAGTTTTGAGGTAAAATAAATGAGTAATGGAGGTACATAAAGAAGAAAGTTTATTTTCCTGGAAGTTAGCATAACATACCATTTAGAATACTTATGTTTTGAAAACAATATCTGAAAGATGGGGGCTATTAGCTGCAACACACTGTTGGAGTCGTTTTCGGAGGAGGGAGTAACCGCGATAGTGAATTCCGATCGCTATGCTGCAATGTTGCAAAATTTCTTGCAGCCCATGATGGAAAATATTGTTGAAAATGAAGCATTGCGAGACATGTGGTTCCAGCAGGATGGGGCTACAGCTCACACAGCCCGAATGTCACCCAATGTTTTGAAACACATGTTTCCCAGAGGTCTGGTGTCTCTGAGGGGTGATTTACACTGGCCTGTGAGGTCACTTGATTTGAGCATTTGCGATTTCTTTCTTTGGGGACATCTAAAAAAGAAGTTCAGAAGTTGCCCTCACACCCTACCACAGCTAAGGGAACGGATTATTGCAGCAGAGGTTATGGCCATACCTTACCATATGTGTGAATGTGCTGTAGGAAACTTCAAAGAACGACTCCAACAGTGTGATGCAGCTAACAAACCCCATTTTCATGATATTGTTTTCAAAACATAAGTATTTTAAATGGTATGTTATGCTAATCTTGAGGAAAATAAACTTCCTTCTTTATGTACCTCCATTACTCTTTTATTTTGCCCCAAAACTGTTCAATCAGTTCTGCCCCACCCTGTATAAGCTAGCTAACACATTTAAATTGTATATTGTAATCAATATATAACAAATGGTCAAATAGTTAGACTACTTATAGCCTCATAAGAATTAGCTAAGCTGCTAGCTACGTACAATGTATTGCACACTTGATGCCTCTGTACCAAAAACATTCAATTTTTTGGAACCTAATACACACTAAAGGCAACAAGTTTATATACCAATTTGTCATTTATAGTACATTTATACTAAACCATGAATAACAGAACCTCAATATAAATTAAAGACTGCCACTCAATATTTTTAAATATATGAAAAAATCAAAAAAATCAAAAAAATCGAAAAAATCAAAAAAATCATGATTTTTTTTATAAAAAAATCAAGTGATTTAATCACATGATTTAATCATTTTGATTTAATCATTGCCAACCCTGCATTAGGGTAGTCACATTTCCCCCATCATGGGGCAGCACCCCCCATTTGCAAACTATGACACTTTCCTCAAGTTTGTCATTTGTAGATGTAACTAGAGGAGTTCTACTACAATGCACCAAAACCTGGAGTTATTTTACCAAAGAATATAATTAATTTTACCACCTGGTCTAAGATACCCCAAGAGCTGGGGTAATGAAGACCATCACTTTTTTTGAAATTACATAAAGACTATGAGAGGCAGGAGCCAGCAATTTATGGTGAGTGGAGCTAGAGTATAGACCTGTATTTTGAATGTTTCAATTCAAGTTTAATTTAGCTAGTAAAAAAATTGCATCATTTATAAAAAAGTGGTCTAAGTTACCCCATTTTATGGTACCAGGAATTTAGAGCCTTGAAACAAGTTAATTTGAATATAGACAATGGGGAAATAAAGAAGCTTCTATAATGAATGTGTGCAATTGATTCGTGCTCATTATACATGCAGTTACATTTTCCATGCTTAAATTCTTGTATTTACAACATTCTTTCTTTTCCAATGACCTGCTAATTCACTTGAAGGCATTGGCAAAAAAAAAAATCTTTGTCAAGTGCAAACTCAAATTTTTAATTCAAAGTTTGGGGTTAATGATAGGCATAGCAAACTTGAGAAGGGCAATACTTGACTAAATCAGTTAACTTAAATACAGCAAGGTGAAACGAAGCAACTTGGACTGTGTTGACATTTAAGTAAAGAACCCCATTACTCAAAAAGTTTGTGCCTTAGAAAAATTGTGTCCATGGCACTTGGAGAAGGTACCCCATGAGATAACCTACAAATGCAATAAATAGATATATTTTATATACTTACTATGCAACTAGGTATATGAATCTTTGAATCACAAAGTTAAACACTAAAAATGGTCCAAGTCACCCCGTTTTATGTTGTATGGATAAAATTATCAACACTTACCTGGGCATACTCCTGACCTTCTTCTTTGAAAATTAGCTCTCTCTTCTCAGCTTCATTTTCATTCTTTCCCCTCCTTCGATTTTTACCTCCCTTTCCTGAAAAAAAATATAAATTCTGAAGGCAAATCTTCTCAGACCTTCAAGCTCCCAAAACATAAATTAAATATTGGTAGAAAAGATTTGTCCATTTATGGAAGGAATCTTTTTAATGGGATAGATTAAAAGATTCATGTACAGAATATGGATTTCAAATTTACCACTCAACCAAGAGGCTATTTTTGTAGTCCAGTTAAAAATTTGAACTTTTTATCTATCTCATTCACAATAAATTAAGATAAATATGTCATGTTCACTTTAGGATAAATTCTTGACATGAATCATTTGTGGCTTTGAGTAAATTCAACATTCTGAAAGGTTTTCATACTGATTTTTAATAACTCAAGAAAATATCAGAATTAGCTGGAGTTGGAGACAAAAAGGTCAAACCTAGGTATTTCTAAAATACAGTCTGATATATTCCTAAAATACAGCCAGCACACTATCAATGAGGCAAAATGTCCTCAAGTCAAAATATCAGTTGGGACTTGGGATAAACAAAAGGAAAGTCAAGTGTGAGGATTCCTTTTTAGCAGGGTCAAATTCAGGACAGGTAATATATGACCAGATGCACATACAATATTTATCTATGAACATGACCAGTTCCTACCAGTATTTAGAAAAAAATTCCATGACAATCAATATAATTTTCCAAGACTTGTGTATGACAGGTTTAGCATGACTGAAAGACTAACCATGCATATTCTATCATCTGCTATAATTTATAAATAACAAATGTTTAAATGCATAGAGCAGGCAGACACAGAGGAACAGAAATGACACAAATCAGAAAATCAAGCCCACACTTTTATTATTATGAATTCAAAAGTGTCGAATCTCAACAAACATTGAGAAATGCACATAATTTTGTAGCACATGATAATGTCTGGTCAAAAAAGTTCAAAACACTCTTCAACACCACTACCCTAACATTCAGCTGGCAACGCTGCAGATGGAATGCTGCCACTGCACATCAAAAGTTGTCAAATGCAACTGAGCTCGGTGACCAATCTCGCGCGATTGGTTCTCCAATCACGTGACCGACGATCACGTGATTAGAGAACCAATCAGAATGCATGAAACAAGACTTTTTTTTAATACAGCAGATATTTTTTTTTGCTCCAGACCTTGGTAGAGGCACTTTTCCAAAATCACACTTTCTCTAGCTTTATACCGTACATAATACTGGTAGATAGTAAAATATTGAAGTTTACATCATTATTTTTAGTTTTGCAATATTTTGATTAGTTTAGCTGATACAACATATCTATGAAATGTGGGATGCGTATCCCTATTTACTGTGCCCGTCCCTTATTACCTAGTTTGACAGTAGATTATTTCTACTTTTCAAGCCATGACTAGAGCTTCCACACCATTTTTAGAGCCAAAAGAATCCTGCCAGATGAATCATCTTGCATATAATTTTTATGACAAAAGTACAATCCAGGATTGGAATGATCCAATATTTTTCAAACATATTGCAGCTCCAAAGCTTGGGATATAGAATTTGAGAAAAATAGAATATGTTGAATTTGAAATCTTATGGTTTCAAAGTTTAGTCAGAAATCTCATGGTTCCAGTCATATAGTTGGGCAAAATTGACAAATGTGCAACTTCCAAAAATGTTATTCCAACAAAATTTTATGTTCTGTAGTTTTGTTTTACTCTCTCACCAAAAAATTCTGTACACAAATCTTTTTTTGCAAATTGTCTTATAGTAGGGAGTCGGCTACCAGCCTCCAACAAAATTTTTGCGCACAAAACATTTTCGTCAACCTTTTCATATTTGTGGTCATGTGAGAATAGTTTTGGACAGGAAATTTTTCAGAAAGCAATTCATTTTGAATTCTCTGATCTAGAACAAAATTGAACCAATATCCACATACATGATAATGCTGGTATCCATGATTCTTTACCAGTACCATATAAAAAGTCGCTGCATTGCCACTATGACACGACTGTGAGACAGCTTGTCAACAGCTATAAAACTATGATACATACTTGAGTGTAAAGAAAAATAGAATATAAAATAAGGTGCAAAATGGCCTAACATCCAGACTTGCCAACCTTGGAAAAAGATTTGAATTGCTAAACTAAAAAGTAGAAAATAAATAAATATAAAAACCATGTTTTTCTGCTGGTTACAAATCTAAAAACAATGAAATAAAACAAATAAACTTTTAAAAACCATGTTTTATCAATGGTCAAATAAATAAATCTAAAAAATAAACATTTTTAAAAACCAGATTTTTCTGCTGGTTACAAATCTAAAAACAATGAAATAAAGAAATAATAAAAAAAAACTTTTAAAAGCCATGTTTTCTTAACAGACAAAAAAAGAAAAATATTAACTCTTACATAACATTAAAGTTACTTAGAATGTTATGTGAGAGTTGAGGTTTTTCTTTTTGTCCAGTAAGAAAATGTGGTTTTAAAAAGTTTTTTATTCATTTTGTTAATTATACCTACTACTTGGCTCTTATTCAAGTATTTTATTTAATTCTCCCAAGTATTTCTATTTAAAACTTGAATAAATGATTGTGAAGTGTAATACAGCTCGCCATCTGCCTGTTACCTGATCAACCGGTCATTTACTAATTAAAATCAAAAACCATTAAATTTACAAAGAAATACATGAAACTGAGGTCAAAATGATTATTGGCAGAAGTTTTTCTGTGCATACCAGTGTCTGTATAAGGAAGAATGTTGCTTTTATCAATTTATAAATGATCAAGATTAGTTATTTTACGTTACCACAGTTACGGAGATATCTACTTAGTATGCTCCAAGACTCTTTTGCATTGTTCTACTGGACACACAACCACAGCAGTGAGTGCAAGTAGTGAATGCTTCATTGCGCAGCTGGCAGCCTCAGTGCAATATTGGCTGTCAGCGTGGAAGGTTCTCTGCTCCTCTGCAAGCCATTCTTTGAATTTATGTTCTATGTTCCAAAAAACCCAAATTACCTAGGTAATATAAAATGTATGTCTAACTAATTGCACCATGCGTACTGTAATACTACACTACTTGCATTATTGCATACAGTAATATTATGGTTGGCAATGCCATACTACTGGCATTGGCATTGCCAGCCATAATTTGGAAATAAAGGCAGTTGCTTGTTTGCTTTCACAGTGTAAATGTGTATGAAATTTTACTCCTGCAAATGGCTTTTGCAGTGTGCATCATGTTCAACTCTTATTGATGGTATTATTTATATTAATTCATTAATGTTAATATGTTGTGTTTGACTAGTAGGCAAATTGCTATTGAATTATTATTTAGACTAATTTGAAATTTTAATATGTTGCAACTTTCATTCTTGATTCTTCGATGTGTAACTTTGATAGGTATATCCTACTTTTAGGCTTTCTATCTTAAACTAAAATTTTTGGATTGAAAAAAGGTGCAGGTGGATCAAAAATACTAATATATCAACCTTAAGTTTTAGAATTCCATACTGGACTTGCAATCAAGCCATAACATTTCCAAGTTATTGAAAATATATCACTATCAAGCCAGGATGCAGAAAGTAAGCAAATATCTAAAGGTCTTTGGGACTTTGAAAACACATCATCATCATCAAAAGATAGGGTAAACACACCATATTCCAACACCTTAACCCTTTCACAAGTAAGTTACCATATATGATCACTTGAAATTGCGTCACAAAAAGCCTCACCACAGCTTCCTGTTTGTTTTTGAGGCATCCTGATAATGCCTTAGTCAATCACTAATTATCTGACCGTCATTCTATCTATAGCATCACCAGCTGTAAAGTCCACAAATTGAAATATGAGCATTTAAATGAAGGTTTTGACTCAGACAATGGAATTGACGCTCTTTCCACATTTTCTTCAAAAGGTGGAAGTATCAATATATATATTTATTTATTTTGGCAACTTAATTAAATTTAATAAAATTTTTATGTTTCTAACTTTTCATTTGCATGAACTGAATATTAATTATAAAGAAAATTTTTTTGTACTGATCGCATTTATTGAATTCTTCAGGTGCGATTTAAACCTTCAATAGGCAAAATTTGCAAAAATTCATTGAAATAAATATATTGTATAATACTTCTTTCTTTCTTGAAATGGTTTCTGAAATTTTAATTTCTGGATATTTCAATGTTTGCCCGCTAAATGGTTAAGGACGTAGCAAGAAATAAATGGGTATAAATAGATCACCGTATGCACAACTCAAGTTCTGATTGGTTTAAGTCACTCTCAAAACACCACACTATGCGCCAGCAATGATGAAACATCACAAACTGCTGCCATATTTATTTAAAAGCCTTTAGAATTCAAATCTACCAAATCACTGAATTTTGACACTGTGTGTGACTAAATGCGGCATATTGCGAGACTAATTCCAACAGCGCTTCAAAATGCTAATTCGTAATTCTGAGACCCTTTGTCAAAATTGCAACACTGTGCCAGAATTAGTTTTTATGTGTCTAAAACAGTCTCTTAAATCATCATCTATTAATTTATTTATCACTTAAAATCAGCAAATACAAGTATACTTAACACATTGACTACGATTGATTCATCTTGTACTATTATTTCTTTTTTTGTACTCTTTTCAAGAAGGGTTGCCAGATGGTCATTTTTTTTGGACAAATTCAGTGATTTAGTTTTTCTCATTAGCGTTGGCTGGCTAAAATTTATGATAGGGGTACTTCCTAATTAAATTTTAAATACTGTAAAATGAAAATAAATGGAAGTTTTATAGCAGAACCTACAAATAAACTAGTATACATTGAATTATCGGCCTTTTCCGACCTTTTTTGTCCTCGGGTTTGGCCGATTTTGGGCAACCTGAATTATGTACCACTACCTCCTGGCTCCTGGAGAAATACATTTCGTGGTACGCATTTGTAGTATGTAACAATACGTAGTCAACGTGTTAAAGGATTCCTAATATATTCACAGACTTATTTAAAAGTCTCAAACCATAATATTCTTTCTACACAAACAGTTTATCACTATTTAGTAGAGTAAGGTCAACAATCAACTTTGACACATTTTTTGATGTTCTCACTGGGTGACGTGCACTGTCTCTCTTTGGATCTCAACATTTTCTGCCAGATGGCCCAGACCTAGTGTTTTGGCAATAGTATGGCACGCAATAGTATGACGTCAACGGTCACTATTTCAACTATCAACGAATGCATGGAACTAAGAAAAAGCTTAATATAAAGGAAAAAAGTTGAGAAGTGTTGGAATTACCCACGATGTTGGAATATACCAAGTTTACCCTACATGGTGGCAGGGAATTATTGTGAGTACTTATCGGTCCACCGCCGTGCGTCGGTCTTAACCCTTCGCAAGGCCCCATGCCCTTGGCCCTCTCTTGCAAGTTGTAATGGTCTAAACTCAACAGTTCGACCCCTGGCCCCATCCCCATGGTCTCATCACAACTCCCTTTAGAAATATGTGGAGTTTCGAAATTGATAGTAATAAATCAATAAATATTTGAACTGGGAAATTCCTTAGTTACTTACATTGGTTCCACAATGATATCAATAACGTAAAAAATTACAATGACATCGGTTAAGCCTCACTGCCTCAGAGGCTCAGCCATGATTCTAGCTTTGCTAAGTCCTTACACTCTTACATCGTAATTCATGATGTTAGAACTTCGATATTCAAATGTTGAATATCTGACAAGTGTCAATATCACAATCAAGATTATTTCGCAATCAGAAATATGTTATAATATCACAATCGAAAATATTATTCACAAATAACCATTCATTTCAATGCCGAAATGGACTGCCATCTTATCACGCTAGCCATATGTTTACATACGTCACAAACGGTGACGTCATCATACAAACGAACACGTGGAGACAAAAAAGAGCAATATTTCGCTGCACCACAAACAAATAAATGTAAATAATTGGTACCGTAAAATGGGGTAACTTAGACCGGCGGGGTAACTTAGACCACTTTTCGTTTTTTTAACAAAAACCCCCACAACTCAAAAACTATTTGACATAGAAAAATTTTGTCAATGGGCATTAAAGGAGAAAATTCGAAATTGCTGCTGTCAGGGCTATGTCGGTTCTTGCGAACCGATTGTTGCATCCAGTCGCTTATATTGAAAATAAAATGATTTAAGCAAGTATTTCTTGCATCAGAGATAATTAAAAGTTTGCTAATGTTAACAGCATTATAATACATGCAGAAACATACATTTTTTTTATAGATATTAAAAATTTAGGCTCTATGACTTGTATACTATGTCTATCACAGTCTATCGGATTTTGAATCGCTGCATGCATTCAAATTCAAATTAGGTCCACCCACACCCCACGGCCAGTGTAGCTGTCAGCTCACCTTCTTCAGAAGTGTGAAAGCTTTGCCGGTGAAGGTGTGTTTTACGATCGGTCCATGAAGAAGTGTTGATCGGTTCAAAATGACATAAGAACAGGTTCTTTTGAATAACCTATGGATTGGCACCATGTTACCCTATAAAGGAAAAAAGTTGAGAAGTGTCAGAATTACCCACGTCCCACAATGTCAGAATATAGGTACCCTACCGCCGCAGTACCTCGTTTACCTAAATGAATTTTTAGCAAGAAATTGTAAAATGTTATATAATTCTGGGCTTGCGCTGGCCACTGGCAAGTGGCAACAAATCCTCAATAGCTAATAATGGAAACATTGAGCCTAAAAACCTTATCATAATTCATAAAGACACACTTGCCAAGTTGCCAAACTTAGTAGTCAGCATAGTACGACGTACGTTAACGCATTTCCTAGCTTTGGAGCCAAATGGCTTAATGAATAATGACTAAATCAATATAAAAAATTTATACAGAATTTGTGAGTTACCTAGGTAGATTGTCACTCTGTCAGTGTCAGTCTCAGATTCAGACCTAGGTAGCCTATGAATTCATTAATGGGCAAGGGGTTATTAAGGGTAATAAAGGCCCTAAAGGCTAAGGGCCGATAATAAAAGCATAATAATAAGGACAGTAGCTTTTGGCACCATGGTTCTTATCAAAACTGAAAAAATTGACTCGACGGCATATAATTTAATTGGCATGCACGTTGTAAATAGTAAGGTATAAGTAGCTAGGCTAATTCAATAATTTCAATTTCAAGCCTGAAATCACGCTTTTAAGAAATGGCTTAGCTAGCACCTTAGGCTTAGCTATATGGATGACACAGTTACAACAGGGTTCAAACCCTAAAAAAATTTGTACGAAACAATAAATAGGATTACACAATAATATATTCTATTTTACAATAACTGACCTTTATTCTTCGGCATGGCTTGAGTAAAGCTCTAACGCAGAGTAAAGAACACGCTAGAACCTCGACTTCCTGGACAACATACAGAAAGAGCAAGGAAGTCACAATACCAAATGTTCACAGCAGCCTCAACAAGAAAAAAATACAACATACCAATAAAGAACAAATTGTAAAAGTTGGAAGCGAAAAGTAAAATTTAAGAGATGTTAAATAGGAAATATGAGGTAAATTTAATATTACCAGATTCATTTATGTTAGGAAAATTGCGCTATTTCTTTACGTACCTAGCATATACGTTGTGTACACTGCATATATGAAATTACACAAAACATACAGAATAATATAAGTTTAAGATAAAGAATCGCTTAAAATGATTTTTCAGTATAATTTAAGGGGAGCGTCTACCCTAAAATTGAACATTTTTACTTTTTCGCTTTTTATACTAATTTTAAAGCTGACATTCTGCCCTATCCAACGGTACCACTGCCATCTGTGTATGTTGATTTATGATTTTACGACATTTCATGAAAGGGGGGCGGGTGGGGGAGTTCTTTAAGTAATTAGATAGGAACTAATTAGCTGCTGAGCTGATTTTGGTATCTATGCTACATTGAGCGCATATTGTGGTGCGCGCGGGACTTTGTCGCGCTCTCCTCAACATTCACACTTATTGTCACGGAAAACCTATCTCCTCCTAGAGTTTTGAAGCTACTACAATGAGACATACTTATATCAAATAAAAGATCTACAAAGTTGCGTTTACGTTTTTCTAATTTCTTCATAGTTTGGATTTTATTCAGTAAAAAGTGGGGGAAAATCGGAAAATGTCCGAAAAAATTACGAAAAATGGTCTCACACCCACAAAAAATAAAAATTTCAAAAAACGGCAACGCAGTTCTATAGATATGGGCCCGTATGCTAAATAGGGCACTAGTACTACGAAGTAGCACTATGCACTACGAAGTGTCCTGTTGGTATGCTAAATACGTCACAGACACTAAGCACTTCGAAGTAGCTCTACAATGTTTAGTGTCGCTTAGTGTCGCACTACTGATTCGTATGCAAAAAGACTTTGAAGTGCTACTTCGCTGTTAGAGTACTTTATAGTGCCGCACTACGCTATGAGTCTATATTGAAGAATGGTAGTTAAGTGCTCAAATAATTACTTATTCCCTAAGTAATTCTCATTCTTTGCAAAAGATTGATGTCAAATATTTAATTGTGATGGTAATGGTACTAATGAAAATTATGATGGTGAGCTGAAATTCGCAGTGCGTCTGCGCACATTTCCCATCATATATTTAAAGTCCACGCTTCCCAAAGACATCGAACAAAAGAGTTCTGCATGGAAAGTTCTTGCAGAAGAATTCAAAATGACTCCAGAAAAAAAAATTCGAAACATGGTATCAAAAACCAGAAAAATATTTTTTACTTCTACGCTGTTCATCTGTTTCGCCAAGGAAAATGTCAGCCGTAAGAATAACATGTTGTTCACTGAAGCGGTACACTTTTTTATATTCATGGCATGATGCCAACCGTAGTGTTCCATGTCGCACTAGTACCGCACTACGGCTTGTAGTGCGTAGTGCTACTTCGTAGTGCTAGTGCCCCATTTAGCATACGGGCCATGGTCTTTACGCATCGAATGATATGTGTCTCGATGTTGTAGCTTGAAAATCCTAGGAGGAGATAGATTTCAAACCCCCTTTTTACCGTTTTCTAAGAATTTCACGTTTCTTTTTTTTCGAAAATTTCACATGAACAAAATGCTAGTTAGTTTTTTTCCATTTTACATATGTGTACGAAGTTTCAGAGTGATCCGTTTATAAATAGCCGAGATAATTTTTGGGGTAGACGCTCCCCTTAAGCTTGATAAGATACTTCGCACAAAAATTTAACAAGTATGTTGTTTGCGCAAAATTTAACAGAAAGATTTGAATCGACACTTCTCCGAACCCGCCTGCGGACTCAAACGCAAAACCTAACTTTTTGCTCAACCGAACAACTCATCAGTCCTTCAATACTGAACGGATCTGCTTGGAATTTGGAATATAAGTATTTATTATCAAACTCAGAGGTGGGCAGTAGCGCGCTACATGTAGCGGCCGCTACATTTTCAGTAGCGGTAGCGGTAGCGGCACTACATTTAAGGCAATGTAGCGGTAGCGGTAGCGCCCGCTACATATTTAAGTAGCGATACGAGATTTTGCCGCTACAGCGCTACCGCTACATTTATACATAAAGCCTTTAGATTTTACTTAATAGTATTAAATATTATTTGAAAACCAGCATGATACATACATAATATAAATTACAGAATAAAACTGTACGTAAGATTTCGGTGTAATGTTGTCAACCTCAGCCTGTTACTAGTGTCAACATGTTAGTTGTTACTTGTAGTCGTTACCACTTACCACATACAGGTATTTTTCATGTTTCAGTTTGCTTACAGTTATTTTTACAGTTATTTTTGTTTCACCTTCCCTACATGGATGTCTACATTAATCTACCAATCTCAAAAATAATCCACATATATATACAAAAAAAATACTGATTTTTTATATGTATATGTGGATAATATTTTAGATTGGTAGATTAAAGTACACATCCATCATCCATGTAGGGAAGGTAAAACATATAAATAACTGTAACTTTTATTTACTATATCTAACCCGTACTAGTTCGGTTAGGTTAATTGCAATAAAATTGCATTGATATGTTTTGAAAATGTTTATGAGTAAATCCCAATAGCAGAACAATAAATATTTAGAGATTTCCAATAATTTTGGCCATTGTAGCGGCTTATGTAGCGGCGCTACATTTTACTGTAGCGGTAGCGGTAGCACTCGCTACAATCTAGTGGGTGTAGCGGTAGCGCCCGCTACATGTAGTGCATGCAGGTAGCGGTAGCGGTAGCGCCGCTACATTTCAAAGTAGCGCTGCCCAGCTCTGAATTCAAACTCCTGCGAGAGAAGAAATTACAGTTTTTACCTTACTTCCTTTTCAATTAAAACGAATTGATTCGGTATTTGAAAGTATGATAGAAAGTTCTTATAGAGCACGCTCATGCAGCCTATATCTTAAAATGAAGTGCAATCAGATTGATGTCGATACAATTGATTTACAATCTGCCTACAAATTTCGTTATAGACTCGCAGTTTTTGAACAAAAACTCTATAACCCTTTAAGTGCTCTGGCAATTATTTACTGTCAATTTACTCATAATATTATACTCGGACAATTATTTTCCATCCTGTCAATTTCCGTTGACAATTTTTTCCCCAGCCAAGAAGCTGGGAAAAGGCTGGGCTACCGGCCAAGTCAATTTTTTTACGGAAGATGTGAACAAAGGAATATTGTTGCATCACTGTTAGCAAGTTGGGAATTTTCATTTTGAGAATAAACTGCAAACGTTGAAATTAAAACGGCACCGTCTCCGAGAAAAATTGAACGTTGCACGAATTCGATGTTTAATATACGTATTTAAAGTGATTTTATATCATTAATCGTTTCTGAAATTTAGTATTTATTATTTCAAAAGATGATATACCAAAAAAATTAATTTACCTTTTCATGAATGTAAATAAATTTATTGCGCGATTCTATTGTGGCCGCCGATAAAATCATTTTATTACTTATTATTTCGTTGAAATTATTCAGAAAAGAACTTTTAATTCATTAGTGGATTAATTCTTAACATTTTTTCCGCGTTCACTCACTTGTGTCGAAATTGGACGTAAGGCTGATGGCGTGGCCCATAGTTCCATCAGAAGACAAAGAACCATAAGGAGACTGGTCAGGACGCACGCTATCCAACGCCTCATTGGCTGCTCGTGCAGCTCGTTCGTGTACATAAGACGCGCTTGCGGGTGCCTTCGCTCACTTCAAGTTGTTGTTCTCCCGTGCGCGTTATCAGTCTTAACCTATCAGCTACTTACGCAGTACCCACGTGCTTACTGTAACCTTCACTTAGCTGAACCGAGCGGCGATGGAAAGTCACATGCATAACTGTGAGTATATTCATTTGTTTATTTAAGTGTGAGCGAAAAAGTGTGGCCGTGAAACAAACTCAGTCTTAGTTCTGATGGTGTATTTCAGAGCGTTCTTGACAGGATTTAATACAACAGTGAAATATGTCAGGGTTGAACTCGCTACCTGTCTGGTGAACGAGCCACGAGTGCATGAAATTTCAGGTTCAACAAAAAAAAAATACAGAAAGCGTCCAATTCTGCGAATAGTTTCATTTAAATTCCGTTGACAACATTACCTATTTTATAAAAAATATTTTGTTTGTTATTATAACGCCAAAGGAATAGCTCGTACCGTAATTTTTAAATTTTTGATATGCATTATTGATATTGATTTATATTTTCTTATAGTGATATTGATCTGTGTTGTTTTATTGTTGAGAATTGTGCAAACTTTTTCCAGCCTTCGTCCTAGTTTTGCTTAATAATAACTAATGTCTAACTAACAGGAGAAGTGACAAAAGTTAAAGTGACTACATTAATTATAATAGCCTTTCTTATGCAACCGCTCATTTTTGAATAATTTTATTGAAACACACAATATTTTATACTCAAAACCAGAGTTATTTTCAAGGTTTTGATGATATTTATCCGTACATACACTCTCATGGGAAAGAATTATGAACAGTATTCAATAGAAGTTAAAGCTGTTATTCCAAATTTATTATTCAGTCATCTCGGCTAGACGGCTACTTACATTTAAGGCCGTGTGATAATTTTGTTAAGGTTGTAGCAAAATATTATCATTTTAGTTATTCCGAGATTTCATAGAAAAGTTCGAAAATAAATGTTACTAAAATTGCCCTCGTATTATACATGAGGCGAAATCTAAAACAATTTGTAGCATTGAAATGGGCATTTTATTACAAGCTCATATTTTGACACACGCTGGCAATAAACTGTTAAATTAATCTTTTCAGCCGCTGTGAACCTGGCCCGCTTCAGCAGGGGCCATTGTGTATCAAGATTTCCTGGGTTGCCGCTGAGCCAAATTGAGTACGAAGACAATTATTTCTACGAAAGAAATGGGTGAGTCTTTTCAACTGTTCCATGGCTGTGCAGGCGATTACAAATTTTGCCAATATATTCATGTTCGAACAATGACAGTCCACAGTTCTGCATTAGTTAGTCTGTATAGCTTGTTATTCCTCTGATGTTTTCCTCATTAATTATGCATCGTTACTGTTTTATAGGTCACACCCTAGGGTAAAATTTTAATATTGACATATAGTTTAATTTTTAACGACTAACAAATTGTTTTAACCCATTAAATATTTGACTCAGAGCTGTGGAGCGCGTCACTAAGGTTGACTTCCTGTGGCTCGGCTTATTCTTCTTGCCCGATCATCCCGAGGAGTACGACGCGACGTCCGACAAAGACTGCACCTTCTGCGTCATGAATGGCCTTTTATTCACCAAACACATTATCGTGGTCAGAACATTTATAGAATATTCTTGCAGGTGCTATGGTGCCTTGCTATTTACATGTGCTATTTTAGTGCCCAATAGAAGTTCAACTTGGCTATATAATCGTCATAGAATATCGGAAAAATTAAACAGAAACTGTCGTGAACCTCTATGATGTAAAAATTTCCTTCATTCCAAATATGTTACAAAATTTTAGGACCACCTCGTTTTTTCTAAAATTTAATTTCATGTTGCATGTTGAATTATACATAATAATGCAATTAAAGTCGTCGTAAATTGTCTTCACCCAAATGCATAACGGATACATTTTTCTTCATTTTACAGACACCCAACGGCGTTTTCAAGTGTCCGGTGATAACATCCTGGTTGAAAATTCGTCAAGAAGAAAACTATTTGGCCTCAAAACAGCCAGTAAATGATGATGAATTTTTCCCATTTGAACTCTTTTTTGCAACTCAAGAGCGTCTTGACAAGTTTGTAGAATGCGTTCGATATAATCAAGAACAACAGGTAAAGCTAGAACAAAAACAAAATTTGTTGAAATGTGAGCAGCGCAACTGGTTACGTAAATGCCGAACTCGTGGTCATCGTAATGGTCAGCGCCGTCCCGTAAATAGGCAGCAGTACGCCATAAATGGTCAGCACCACGCCATAAGTGGTCAGCACCTCGACATAAGTGGTCAGCACCTCGACATAAGTGGTCAGCAGCACGCCATAAGTGGTCAGCACCTCGACATAAGTGATCGGAACCTCGACATAAGTGGTCAGCATGTGTATAAGAGACAGGACCTGCACCATGAGCTGATCATGAGCTGACCTGCACCATGAGCTGATCATGAGCTGACCTGCACCATGAGCTGACTTGGATGATAAGCTGTTCTGAACGATTAGCTGACTTAGAAAATAAGTTGACTTGGCCGATGAGTTGACTTGGAATACAATTTTATAATGTTTAGCACATTTTCTACGTTCATGCGGTGAGATTTGAGAGACACACGCGAAATTTTGTGTCAATTACTTATTCCTTTAGTATTTTAAATATCATTTATATTAACAGACTCCCAAATTCAGTACAAAGGCTAATGAATATTGGCAATTTTCAGCAGTTGAATCCACTTCTGCCGCTTCACCACCAATGCGGCTGTGAAACGACTTAATTCTATAAGACGAACAGTTTCTTCGCTCGATTTATCTCCTACGCTATCAGTTGCATCCAATTCAATATATAATTTAAGGCAAGGAAACATTCCCCCATCCGCTAAGATTTTATTAGTCGTGTTGATAAGTTAACACACGTTTAATCCCTCAAACGTGAAATTAATGTGCTGCAGGTAAATAAAAAAATTAAGCTTACAATCAAGTTCCTTTGATTCCATTCTTGATTGACAGCTGAAAGATAATGAACAGATATCGTGACCACAGCAAATGTTGAGATACACCGGACCTGCCTGCCTGGTCGCCTGAAAAGACCAAATTACTACCTACTGAAGACCCGCGAAATGACCCAAGTAATGTCATTAAATGCTAATCTCTTCATCAGCAGGTAAAGCCTAGGAATCTGGTACAAACAGTTTCTAAGTTAGGGACCAAGATTTGTCTAATAATAAATGCAGTTGAACTAAAACGGTTATTATAATCAACCATGGAGGTTTAGACGAAGCCTGCAATCGTGGACAAACAGAAAATTCAGCACGCGTAACTGATGCCCTGCATGGCGATGTTTGGTGGTCGATATACTTGGAACAGCAACCAAAAGTAAAAATAAGTAGATACCAAAAAATTCAGCAGTCATGTGAACAAAATCATCAACATTTTCTTCACAAACATAAAAAATATTTAGAAAAAAAATTATCGAAAGTGACGTCTCCAGATTAACTCGATTCGGCAATAAAATTGGCAAAACTACACCAAACTCATTCTTTTCAAGATATATAAAGTGATTGCTCCTAGAATAACTATGATATATTTATTTCATACCCGCTTACCATTTTTTATCTATCTCGCTTCTTCGGGTCATGTGACAAGGCGTCATTTGTACACAAAGTGGGAATTTTTGCCATTTTTCCAATCAATTCCTTCAGTTTTCAAATTATAAACACGAATAAATGGATAAATAAGTCAAGGAATAACGTTTTTCCTTTTATACTTGCTGCTCATAGTCAAGATTTAGAAACTCTTCAGGAAAGGAGCATTTCAGTCCAGTTTTATACATCTAGCCATCGGCCACAGACGGTCATAAAACTTTTATATACGAATATCAACATTTGCTTGTAAATTATATCACACAAGGAAAAGAAACTAGCTGGTATAAACTCAATTGAATTATTTTCCCAAAATGCACCGTTTAACACGATCACATATTATGTCTATGTTAAATTATTGACAGAATTCCATTACAATTCACCGTGTTTCAAGTAAATCAATAGTTTTATATTGCTTCGGCACACTCAAAACGTCTACGTATCTCAACTTACGACACCTCGGAGCAGGAGTAGAGCTACGTACAGCTTCTTGTAAGTAGTTTCCCGCACAAATGTTTTGTTAATACCACCGCTAGAGTTACGTCCTCATATCAGCAATTACGCCACACGTAAGTCGTTACGTGTACTTAGCGGTGTTTTGATGATTCGGCCCCAGCTAGGCCTATACTTTCAAAAAAAGTTAAGAGATCGTAAGTTCACCAGCCAATCATTGACGGCCTTTCGAGCAAAATTCACCAATCATAGACAAGAAAATAGAGCGTAGGTACTTCCATTCATTTAGCGAATTTTGAAAGTATGGCCCCAGAGCTGGCAGCTATATGTATATATTCAAGGATATATTACAAGGGCTCTGAAGAGTGTGATGATCGGTTCCGCTTCTCTCGTTCTGAACGTCCGCCAGATCCACCCCATCTGTCGCCCACCTCATGCGGTTATTGCCGCTATGCGATCACCAAAATTGAGCTAACAGTCGATCGCGAGCTTTATCTTAGGTACACACACATCAACTGCAGACATAACCATATTCTTGATGAATGACCACGACACCACCACATTCATGTTCATAATACAGTCCGAAATGTTCGATGCACTCACTGATTCACGAAGTTTAACATAGTTCATTTTAGCAAAGTTGAAACGTTCAGGCTTCCGAGGAGTCTTTTCTGCATAGCACTTATTACTGAATAACAATGACGGGTGGTGACTTCGAAGTATTGGTAAGGAAAACACTGGTGAATACCGAAGATTAAGAGTAATACAGAAACAAGAACTCAATAATGAACACAAAATTAAAACAAAATAAACTCAAAATAAGCCCAGCGGATGACTCGCACTAAATCTATAATAGTTCGCGGTAGTGAACTAATGATTCTGTAAATAGAAATAATTAATTCAACAAGAAGCTACTATAATAATATAATATAATCGCAATTCACGAATATCACACACAATTTAAAGGCCACAATGTAACTATTATTCACAATAGATTCGCCAACAGTGATGTGCAAAATACTTCACGACTGACGGAATGAGAGTGACGAGTATGGGATGACAAGGGTGAATAGACTTTTTCTCTAAATGAAAATGCTAGTGAAATCTAAAGGTAAAAACACTAATGAAAAAAATGAGTACAAATTTAAAAGAACAAATATGAGAAATAACTGTTTGAATGATCGCAAGAAAATGACAAGGAAAATCGCAGTACAAAAAATTAGTGACGTGCGAGGCGCGGCTACACCAGGAAACGACGTAAGGATTTGAATATGTAGGCTCGGCAAAATCTTCATCTCTTCCATTGTGGAGCTTGTTGATTTAAACCACTCAACAGATACATTGCATCCAAGAAATTCAAGGTTGTTTCTGAGAAATAAACATTTGTTTGCGAAATCTTCAAATTATTGTACCTACTTCAATATATTAGATACATTATCTAAATCCTTGAGGTGTTGCCCGTGATCAGAGGACAAATAATAATAACATCCATGTAGACGAAGGTGCACTTCGTTTTCATGAAAAGATTATCCAGACATTTTTTGGAATGTAGCACCCGCATTTTGCAGTACAAAAGGCATGTACAAACACACGAATAGTCCAAACGGAGTACCAACAGAAGTTTTTTTACTATAATTCCACGTAATTTAAGGACCACTCTGTTGACATGTGGGATGGGGTATCGATGAGGCTTGGAGATGAAGTTTAATATTCTGTATAGTATCCACATGCTCTCCACGTCCTGAGCGTTGGTTTTGGCGTTAAATTTAGAGGCGAGTACCACGGACTATTCGATTGTCTGATCATTCCTGCCTGCAATAATTTAGAAAATTCAAATTTAGCAGCTTCAAATTTATCGGCAGAAATTTGGCGAACTTTAGCGAAAATAGGCCTAACTTTTGCTGTCTCAATAGAATGAAACACCTTGGATGTATCTCCTGGGCTCTGTCGATTTAGGCGCTTTGACGCTCATAATCATCGCTAGAAACCTGAATGTGTGTTGGGGCATTGGGCAGCGTTCCGTAAAAGAAGGAGTTGTATCTCCTTTACCTCGGGTCTGAAGTAGATGGCGTGGGCTTCTGCAGCCCTGTGGCTCTTCAGATATTGGAAAATGCTCATCTTTTCATTAGGGAGTTGTTATATATTTGGACCATTTATATTGTTTAAAAGACAGCATACAATTTGAAACTAGCAATTACTTTACTTTATTGCTAGCTTACTTTATTTCATAGAAATTTGTGCCATATATATTCATGCAATGTCAGAAGAAATGTAATGAGTTTCTCAGCATATTAATTTCACTTCATTTTATTTTCAATTGCTCTACCTCATTTTATTTCAACGTAAATTTTTTTATTAATAAACGAATGACTTCCGTAGTCTATAATTAGAAGCAAAAATGTGCAATTTAAATTAAAAGCAGATAAATTTATGATCTATTAATGCTTGAGAAGCATCGATTGAGTGAGTGATTTTGGCTGTGAATAGGGACTGTAAAGAGCAATTTAGGTGTTCTAAAGCGACCGCGCCTTATGTCGATGTAGTTACTGCGCATAAACATATGCCAACTTTAAGCAGCATAAAAAACGGATTTTTTAGGTTTGGAGTAATTAATGACAGAATTTACGATCTATGCATGGATTGAGATCGTGACATACGTACGTTGAGTAGGAGAGAGATGCCTCATCGAAAAGAAAGGCGTGAATAAGACATTTTCTTGCTCATTTTTACGTGTGCTTATTGCGCCTGTTTGGATTCATTTGTCTTGCTTTATATTCTTTACACTACGTCTTCTTGCGGCGAAAACTTCTATTGTTAATTGTTATTTTCTCTAGCCTGCCACTTTTCTGCCTAATATTAAGGTGCACTTCGCAAGTATCACTTCGCTCATATGTAATAATCATGTTAGTGTCAGGAACTGAGCTGCATTGCCGTGAATCTGATAAATCACAAAAAAAACACTTTTTTGAATAATGACAGTAATTGACAATTTAGTATTGACAATATGGTATTGCCAATGTGGCATTTGCATAGTGACAATTATTGACAATATGGTATTTGACTAATGGCAGTCATTGACAATATGGTATTTGAATAATGACAGTCATTGACAATATTGTATTTGAATAATGACAGTCATTTACAATATGGTATTTGAATAACTGACAATCATTGACAATTATGGTATTGACAATATGGTATTTGAATAGTGACAGTCATTGACAAAATGGTACTGACAATATGGTATATGAATCATGACAGTCATTGCCAATATGGTATTTTTAATAATGACAGTCATTGACAATATGGTATTGACAATATGTTATTGGGTATCGGCTAAAC